TGTGTGTGTGTGTGTGTGTGTGTGTGTGTGCGAGCCATGTGTTTACATGGTGACAGTATATCCTTTAGCGCGTGTGTAAGCGAAAACTGGGGTGATTTGTAGGAATCATGTACGAGGTTTTTATAGGCAATGCTCGGCCGATATGTGAGCAAGTATAATAGAAAAGTGATTGCACGTCTATAGTTGTGAATAAAAGCTAAAAAAACCCAGAGAAGAAATTGTTATCATATAGATATACATATATCTGTGATCGGAAACGAATCTATCCATACGTTTCGGTTAGGAGTGGACGACAGGTGTCGCCAGTAGTAAAATCATGAGCCACACTCGCTAGTTGCAATTCGAGTAGTCTCTTAGGCCCACGTTTGATGACGTGTGGCCGTATGTTTTGATATCGGTAATTTCGTTTATAATAATTAAGCATATACATGATGATATATAAGTTATTGTTTATACTATTATTGTAGTCGCACACAGATTATGTAAGCGGTTAGAGATTTAATTTGTGTGTACGATACGTTTTCATAAATGCGTTGTGATGTTTGTTATTTACTTAAAATATTAAGATGGAGTTGAATTTGTCTCCAAGACTGGAAGTGTTGAGTGAATGAAGTAACGTGTAACATATATTAATTGACTGCTAATTATTCTATATTAGTGATTGCCCAGCAACTGATTGATTGACCTCATTGGCTGATCCATTATTGTTCAGTTCAGATGAGGTGGGGCAGTAATTTCACAGTATTGGTTATGAACGTTGTTAGTGACGCTGGTGCCAAGCAAGAGAATGAATGCCATAAAAAGATATTGTTATAAAAATTAGTGTGATCGTTTAAAAAGAAAATGTTCAGTAACGCCATACGGTAACAGTGTTTAGATATACAGGATGCTTTTTTGCTTATCTTATAATTGCAAACATATTGTGAAAATAAAAAATAAAATATTTTTTAGAGATTTCTTGTAAATATTGATTTTGTATGAAAGTAATGAAGTGACAAGATTGGTGAACGAAGCAAGGTGAACGTGTGCTCTGCACAAATGTAGGTTTCTCGATGTACTGGTTGATTTTTGTCTTTACCGTTCCTCGAAATTCATGAGATGCTGGTTAGCCTTATGTTGAAAACTCACATCTGATGCTTATTGAGAAATTCTATATTGCAAAGGGATGTTCAGCGTCGTAAAACACATGGTTATAAAGTTAGGGTTATGGTTTTTCCCATGCAGCCAAATCCCGTGGCATTCCCTCGTGCTATGAAATTTAACTGGTGACGACGTCTGACTGGCAACCATTTTACCTGTTAAAAATGTCAGAGAATAGATCAGTTCTTATTAGGGTGTATGTATAATCATCAGCATAGAACTACAAATACTTCAGTGATAATATATGAAGAAAAAAAAGGAGCGAAATTCTTACTAAGTATTGGATCGTGTACTATTATATATAATTATACGATCGAT